CTGGGTCATCGTTCGAGGCTTCGGGTGTTGCGTTCACAACACTCAAGCGACGTAAAAAGATTCGAATGAGTCCAGCGTGCGCAGATGGATTAGTGGTAACACAATCGCCTCGCTTGTCAGATGTGGGACCCGACACGGACATTGGTTATTCCCTGCTGATGAGCGCTAATAGGAGTGAAACTCGAGTCCAGTGCCTCCCCCTTTTGTGTGGACTCACCAGAATGATCGTACCAGGACTGGAGGACAAGCGTACAAACGTGAGTCGTGTGAGTGTTTATTATACAAAATCCCGCAAGCACCAACACCCTAAATAAAATTGTCGCTCAGACCAGATTGCTGTCCAAACTAGGTGAAATTTGACGCGGACCCCGGTGTAGAACAGGGTGAGCGTACCCCTGATATTCATTTGATGATCACATGCAAAGGGCTGGATTGAGTTACGGTTTCACGTGATGCCCATCTGTCTGGTTTGTTGGACATGTCGTGATTGTGGATGAGCGAAGTCTTGTTCGAAAATTGTACGTTCAGCTTACTGAAAGTTGTCCCTAGGACTCTGCGCGGAACGACGTGTGCCAATAGAATGTTAGGCGTCGACTGTGAAGGACAGATTAGACGTAGAACACTTCGAAACTGGTGTACCGCATCTAGGTGTCGCAATCGTGAACTATTTGTACAACATTTGGCGCAGGATTTGAACAAGTCGGGTCGACGAAAGTATTTGGCACATTCGATGACAGCTAGAGGATAATTGCGGGATCCTATCCATCACAAAGCTCTCAGGAGATCTAAATGACCAATAGTTTCCCTTGGTGGTACATTTTGGTTTACTCTGGGGAACACAATGAATCTTCTGATCCCTTAGTACTTAGGGTGGGGAAGTTTAACGCAAAACAGCCTGGTGCCAACGAAAGACTCAACTGAATCGCCAATTCATAACTATCTCAGTTGGTGTACGTTTTGACTGTAAACCCTCAAAGGGTCTGAGTAATAACAAGCGCCGCGAAGGAGCACTTCGGTAAATTCGGCTGTTCGGAAGGATTTGCTGATGACATTCTGGCACTATGGCTCCACAAAATAGGGATTTTGGGGACCGTGCGTCAAACAACGGTACAAGTTAGGTCAAAAGACCCAATCTGACCACCACAGGAATGCAGGACGAGAACCAGTCGGTTGTGGAAATCACAATAAAGTAGATGATAGTTGAAAATGCACTTTTCCTGCCAAGTTTAACAGGAGTCCAATGATACAGCCACTAGTTGGGTTTGTATCACCTGTTGTTCTACTTAAGATAACTAGGTCCAGAAACTCTCAGAAGTGCTCATTCCTTCGAACCGCCTGTTGCTGAGATAGTTATACGACTGTAAGTTTGTACCCCTCAGGAAAGGATGCTTAGTCCGATCTTGGTGCCACACTATGCCTTCAGACACTCAATAGGAAGAGTAGAGAAGCACCAGCGCACAGTTCTTGGTTGTGTTTAGGCAACTATTCACGAGGCCCCAATGGACATGCAACTATTCCGCGCATTGTAAATATTGGCGGAAGGACAGCGTCAAATTCGACGACCATTATCAGAAATGCGAAATTAATTAGGGGGTCAGAAACGTTTCAGTAATTGCCACGGTGCATAGGCTGACATCTAGATTCTGGTCACTAGGTCATCGATCGAACGACCTCCCTACAACCACAATAGTGAGCATAAACTAAATTGCATCAGACTTGCGAGTTGCGTGAATTAGATTACATAGGCTGAATTTTTGCGCAAAGTGTAGTTGCATACAGTGGATAACGTGATTATGTCAAAAAAACATTGGGGACAGAAAACCTGAGTCTTTTTAAAAGTGCGTCGATTGTACTAAACCCGCAGATGACTGACAATGCGGCAGTGAAGACCATGCAGCTACACCGGTTAGATTTTAGTGGGTTACTTTGAGGAATTTGGCCACGGTCAGGCTCAGCCTCATAACTTACTGCAAAGTAGCGCTACATGAAGAGCCTGCTCGAGCAAAAACGGTTGAAGAGTAGAACCAACTCGACCTTGATGTTCTCGAAGTGCTTATTTTCTCAGTTTTACAGCTAAATACAACCGTTCCTGCCCACCACTCCAGAGCTGATTGGATGGATTTCACAAGGAAGTGACCCCTCTTCTAAGAAAAATGTTGTGTGAGTAGTTACCGCAATTCCATTCTGTTTCGTTTGGTCACTCAAAAACGAAATCCGGTCTATTCATGACACACATCCACTGTTTTACTGTGCAGACAACCATAACATCCATGCTTGGATGAAGGCACTACCAGCTTGGTTGCACATCCGTCGAAACACATCTGGCGTATATTCGGGGAGCAAGCCCACCACTCAAATGCCCCGTTGCACATCCGTCGAAACACATCTGGTGTATGTTCGGGGAGCAAGCCCATTGGCGATACCCGCCACCCAAATGCCTTTCTTCTCGTGGAGCAAACATGCTCAGTCTCTGCCTAGAAATGAAGTAGCCATTTGAGACCCTTGCTTAGCAGAGGTCTCACTGTGCCGTTGATTCTTTCCTTCCATTCTTATTTCGTGCAGCGTGATTCTCCGTTCTGTTGTTTCCGTTTTCCGTCTTTCTTGTTTTGACCTGAACATAAACCGCTCGCTCTAATCAACACGTGGATTTCGCTATCTTGTGGCCACCTTGCCTCGTGTTGGTGTGGGCTTTTGGAGTTTGCAGTCTCTAAACGGTGGGGGTTCGTACAAATTTATCATTTTATTATTGTAATCATAGTACCGCATCTGTTGATAAACCTCCATTTGAACCACTTGACTTTTGGGATTCCTTACTTAACTCAACGTGGTCCAGCAGATTGCTGGAAACAATCTAATTGGTTCCCCGGCCTGGAGTCGAACCCGGGCCTTCCATGTGACAGGGGGAGGTACTCCGTACACTATACAAGTGGAGCCAATCCATTCGAAGTAGGGTTGTTAAGAGCCAGCTTTCAGCACTAAAGCTTGTCGGACATTCGGGGTTCTAGCATTCAACTGCACCTGGGTGTCACGTCAGACTTTCTTCCCGAGCACCGTAATCAACCAGTCACAACCAAAACACTTTTCTTCGTAAAGCGAACTAACCGAATATAAAGTGAGGTGAATCTAAGCTTTATTACTTAAAGGGGAACGTTAAGATTAAGCAACGTACCGTTCAATAGCTCAAATGTGAATCCAAAGGCTAGTACAGATCTTTCTCAATGAGAAATAAACCTCCCTTCTAGAATTGTACAAACTCATTCTGGCCCTAAAACTAGCAAAAAACGATCGTCGGGCTTTGCCGCGTCCTCCGAACTACAGTTGCTGCGGTTCCTCTTTTCCCTCTGATTTGAAATTCGATCCAATTATCTCGCAGTCATTGCTGTCGGCTCTGAGTTTGGTAGTCCGTAGTTTTCACCGTCTCAAATGAGTGGCTTCTCGGGAAGAAGTTAGTCTTACCTGGAATCGAACGTGGACAGTCAAGGTAACATTTCCTGGTGGTTGGTCAGATAGTTGCTGATCTTGTCGTCGAGTCCGGCAATTAGATTGCAGAACCGATGAAAAATCCTGGTCAATCATCAGTAAACGTATGAGGGCTGCCACTATTACGAGAAGCTGCATATCGGCGCGCTACCAACCTGGTCATGGGACTAGTAGCCAAAGTCGCCCCACTCGGTACTTGTCCACGGTCGTTCGACCCAGCAAGTGTTGTACCACTTCGCACATGTTTCTTTGTTGAGCCATGTCTGTCTGACTGGCGCAGTTCATGCACATCTTGAGGCACGAGGGTGTGTGCTGTGACACGCATTCTAAACTGGGACACAGTCCGGAGTCCTTTGTCTGTAGTTCTTCGCGTCTGTTCGGTATGCTTGCGATTACCATTAATTGCTCCGTTGCTTCTCCTCACTCCCTCACCTTTCCTATTCTCTGTTCATCCTTTTTTTCTGCTGCAGAATGGCCACGCTGACTGTTCTCAACAGCTCTCTGGGTTGTTATACTTCTGTTACTGGTCGTATGTTCGTATTTATGCCACACTTGCACTGATTTGTCACAGAACCAGACTCATGGGTTTTATTGCCACATCAGTTGTTTGTCATAGTCCTATTGTCTGTGGCAAATCTGATGCCCTAGAACCTCCAAACATCTGAAATATAGGACCCACTATCAAATTCCCTTCTAAATTCAGGTCTGCGTGGGATCCAAAGGCAGCGAAAGGCGGCTTCACGGAATCTGATGTACTGCCCCCCCCCCCAATGGCGAGTCGTCCATGCTTATTCGTTGACCATCACATGGCAATGCCCGTACATCTGAAATAGATCGAATGATAACCGATCCAATGAAACATTCAGGTTATCGTTATTGTGACTATATCACGGATCGGAACAGGACAACTGGGTGAGAACCCATAATAAATCGACATTTATCGAACTCAGTTTCAGGACACAGCTCGTGTAGTTATGCTCTTCCCGGTGTTTATGTTTGTTTGAGAAACAAACACAACCATTCAGGGTTATCGAGTGCAGAGAGAGGATTACCACACAAATTCGCTAGTAAGCCTGAGTGGAACGGTATCACACACTAGGAGACCTTGTCCAGTCGGATACGACCTTATCCTGACTGAAGCTGTTGGGAACGCTTGTGACTAGCGGCAGTCGCGATAGTGGGCTCCGTTGTTACATCAGTTCCGTAGACTGAACAACCCCTGCGTCAATAGTTTTAGTGTGAAAGTTGTGTATTAAGGTGCTCCACTGCTTTATTTGGTTTGTTTTCCTGAAATTTTTGTCGCATTTGACAAGAGTCAGACAGAGGTCCACCTAACAAATAATATTCGATTATTCTTGTGTTGTCCGGTTTAGTTTTCTTTCCTGTAGAACAGACCTTGCATATATTTATTTCCTCCGAGGGCTTGGCGACCAGAAAATGTTACGAAAATACTCATCAAAGCTTGTGCTCACAGGAGAGTGAGAAAGAGCGCCAGGTTGACCGGTTGCTGGGGGCGTGTACTTCAGTGTATTTCAGAAGTGTATTTCAGCAGTGTATTTCAAAAGTTTTGGTCAGACTTAACAAAAAACGCCAAATGTTTACGTATTGGACGTACAGACACACCTTTACCGGTAATCAAAAATCTCTCCCCCGCGAAAACGCAAGATGCTCAACTCAACGAAAAGGAGTTTCAATCTCCATTATACGATTTGATAGGTCAGATTAGCCACAAGAAGACTCAGCATCGACCCCACAGACGGAAATAGGACAAAGATACGCTGTTGTCTGATTGATTGATTGGTTTTTTTAATGAACAATGCACATAATCATCAAATACGCGTTTGTTGTTTTTTGCGCTCGTATACAAAAAATTGAAAACCAAAAACGACTAAAAATTACTGTCTGTGATCATCGAGGCAGTCATAATGGCCACTTGCTGGCAGGATGAAAGGAAGCGCTCTCAGCCGGACGGGGGTAGAAACGAAATATCGGTGGACAAGGGTACAAAACAGATACGGACTTTGCGGACAAACGCACCAACCATTCTATAGAACACACGAATAAAATGGGTCAAAGCGCATACGCTCATTGGAAGTGGAGACAGACCAGAAGGGAGGGACAGATGAAAATTTGTTGCGGTTGCAGGGCCCAGTATTAAAGAGACATGGCGTAGGACTTCACACACACACACAGAGAGAGAGAAGGAATGGCATCGAGAAGAGCCGGGTGAACTGCAACGTGAGGATGCAGCAGAAAAGGAGGAATGATTTACAAGTAGAGATAGAGAGAGAGAGAGCACGGAGAAGCGCGGACGAGATGCACCAGATGAAGCGAAATGGTTGTTCGGGAACAGGGCAGTACCAATGGATGGACTCAGAAGTTTGGATGTTAGCTGGAAAAGGAGAATTAAACAGGTGCAAGTGTAGTCCACAATTGGTAGTCCGTCGGGACAATCACAAGAGCCGAGATAAAAACCGCAAAACTTCTTGTGAACGTAATTAACGACTGGTGACAGCACTACGGGTTTGACAGGTAGAGTTGAAAAGCTCTCGATTGGGTCCGATCCTCAAGTGTGGAGAGAATTAAAGTACTGACCTAACAATCCTACACCACTCAACAATAGCCGTAAGCCGTCGCAGGATGCGGGGAATTCGTATTCAACTCACTTGTCTGAGAATTCCTTTCCTGGCGCACCTACCCTGGTTAGTCTGAACTGGACTCAATTATAGTTTTCAATAGAACTCACTGGCAGCCTATACCTTTGGCCTTGAAACCAGGACATGTGACAGTACGCCACCAGGACAAGTTGGTGATCATCAGTCATTAACTGAAAAGATGAGTATGTTCAGAGTTGAGCGATATGAACTCGAAAGAGGACTCGACAGCCGTCCCGGTTGTCAATCGATTGGCTCCTCTACCTGAAGTGCAAATCCAACAAATCGGTCACAGTTGGAAAGCCTGAACATGTTCGTCTGTTCCGACGTGATAACTCAGGTGCGTCTGACATGCGCTGGTGGAATAGTGGTAACACTCGCCTGCATGTCGGATGTCCCGAGTTAAAAGCCCATCGTGACCCAGTATATGCACGGTTGATGAGCTCTAATCAGAGCGAAACTCCGGTGCAGTGCCCAACGCTTTGGTGTGGACTAAGCAGAACAACTCCACTACAGCGAGAAGAAGACAACTAGGACGGGAGTGATGTGAATATGAGTAACACTCAATATGCCTATTCTAATGAGGAGCGTGAGGGCTCAGTGGTTCGGAGCCGAGCCCTGCGCCTCGATTTTCCCTGTTTAGTCTTGGGCAACTTGGCAGTATCCCAGCCCTCGTGCTTTCTTCGGATGGCATAGCAGCCAGACAGTAGCATCTTATCACTGGTAGGCGTGGGGGCGAGTGCGAATTAGAGCCAGTTGGTCAATCCTAACAAACGCCCGCTTAACTGCACTTTACAAAACGGACCGACAACCTGTAACGTCGACCGAAAGCAGTCTTCCAATTTGACAAAACTGGAACACATTAACACAATTAGACAAAGACTTACGTAATTTATATGTGCACACTGGGTTCTGGAATCGAATGTGAACAGATAAGAGAGCTTGTGTGTGTGTGTGTGTGTGTGTGATGGTGGTCCAGTTCTGTTGCTCCTGGTGGAAAATCAAGAGTGGGAGGTGGAAAAATGAACCAAGTCGGACAAGGGCGCACAATAACACATCTCATTCACCATTCACCAACGCCTCGGTAGGTTCTGCCTCGTGCCCGTTTTCACTAGAAAGGTGCTGCTCTGGGTGTCCGTTGGTCAAGTCCAAGTCAGCGAGTTTCGAAAATATCGGTTCGGGGAGGTCTGTGCTATCATGGGCAATGTTGGTGTCATCGTAAGCCTCGTCCCCTGTCACATTTGTATTGTTTGTCTCAGTAACGGGAACTTCTTGTTCTTCTTGCACCTAAAAGAAGACAGCGACATTGAAGAAAGCTGGTGTCCACATACAAAAGCGAACAATGCACCAGGAAAGGATGTTTTAGGTCGGTGGAGCTGCCGAGAACGCCAAATTACAGCACGAAATAGAGAATAGTTTAAATATGACAGGTGGTCGATCGCACGATGTGAAATCGCGTGCAGTCTTGCGATGAACCAGGCGAAACTTGGCTGAGACTATGCGGTCAGACGCGGACGGTATGTTATTACTGGTGTTTTTCGAACTGGAATAAAAAATGCACCAAATTTCATCCTTATCCCTTGAAACCTGAAGCTGCAAGAGCCCACAGAAAGACGTAGTACAACTGACTCCGGTAAGTTCCGACCACAAAACTCGAAGGTGTCAAGCGGCGCGCATTGTTCCACTTTTCATTTGTGACTGTATGCCCGCTCAGGCGCGGTCGTTTGTCTGTTCATCCTGACTTTGTACTGTCAGAATGACCATTCACCAAGAGGTCATCCAACCAAGCGTCCATTTGCCAAACACAGCGTCACTTAAGTGACACCTGACTAACATGCTACGGCCGAATTCATTTGTGGCTTGTTGCAACTCGTAGTCAGTGTGCGGTTCGGTGGATCATTTGAACCCAAAAACCAAGGGCTGAGGTTTCTGTTACCTACACTCTGTTCGCTCAACTCTTCTCGTTCGATATCAACACCTTGGCTTTGATATTTGGGATGAATCGGCTACGCGTAGCTCAACGTTCTCTTCGGTGAATGTTATCCCTGATTTTCTGGAATTAATCTGGTTTACCAATACACACAAGTACGTAACACACTGTAGCCTTTTACGACAATTGTGCTACTTCCACCCGAAACGTGTGCCAAGTCCCTTCGGACTAAAGTAGTTTGGAGAATGCATGCAACCCATAAAGACTAATTGGGCTGCGACACATCCACACATTCATGTTGTTCGGAGCATGCATCATGGGTGGACTTCATGAACAGAGTCCACGATTAGCCTAGGTTCAGGGTCTGGTGGTACCATGACAGTGGTTCCCAGCAAGCAGCAAATCAACTGCGAATGTACGTAGGAAACAGCCACTATGGTGTGCAACTGACGAAACAAGTTAAACCGGGGTTGACTAACATTCAGGGACTACCAAAAAGAAAGAATGAATCACTAGAACAGCACCACCGACTGGGGGAGGGCCGCAAGACAATAACAAAGTCAGTGACGATAAAAAAACCCGTTGGTGGGGATATACACGTGCACAATAAACTTGTTTACCATCATGAAGATAAACAACATAAGAAAACAATGCAGAGTGACAGAGCAATCTGGCGGGTGAATGACTAATATCGTGTTGACCTACGACGGGATGCCAGAAAATATATCACAGATTCAATGTACAAACGCAACGGTTTGAAGGTGACTGGCTAGTGATGCTGTAGGAGCACGTCAAGACAGGTGGCACAACCATTCCGAAACTGTGCACGTTAATCCTTCAACTGCAAGTCGAAGTTGAAGTTAAAATGAGTGCACGGTGGGTGTTTCTCCCTTCCACATCTACACTGAACCTGAGAAGACCGAATGGTGGATACTTTAACCGTTGCCAAGTAAGATGTAACATTTATGACCGAGGTAAAACCGCATAACGATGTTGATCATCGCAAGTTCCGAAGGAGAGTAAGGAAACGCACAATGCACGTGCAACTCCCAGAACAAAATCATGAAGGTTCGACAAAGCGTGACCGCAAGTCCCACCGTTCGAACGTATACTTGACCCTTAACTGCTTCTGCGTCAGTCGGATAGCTCCCCGGGTTTAATGCATGCATGGACCAGCTGACGTTCTTTTCCCAGAGGGTAGTCTTAGTATTTTCTTCCCGGCTGATTCGGTGTTTAGTGTAAGTGTTGCGGCAAAAACAACGTACTTGATCGTGATGTTCTTCACAAGCCGGTTCATCTTCTGCCATTGGTGTGGGCTCTGGCTCAACCGGAGAGGTTGCAGGTTCCGTTTCCTCCACCACGTCGGTCGGTTCCGCATGCGTTGTTTCATGCTTGGTCGACATCTAGCAAATTAGACAGGGGGAAGTATGAGTTGGTGAGGGAAAAGTGGACAAACATCGATCCAGCCATAGAACCACAGTACACGAACACAATGAGTGAAAGCAACTTAAAAAATACCGTTGCCGTATGTTGTGTGCACCAGTTTCGTTACCAATATCATACGGAACAGGAACGGAAGGTTTGATAATCCAGAACAATGCTGTAAAGCAGAGCATGTGATCTGTAACCTAGTACTAATTCGCCATATTGATCAGTCTCTGGAAAACGGTCATAGCAGCATGATACATAAGGTGGTATGTTATGAAGCGAGCAACAGGTGAAATGAACAGGGACGGAATGTGTGGATTAAGGCTTGGACGAAAGTGTGTGTGACCAGTCAGTATTGCACGCATAGAAGACTGTTGAAGTGACGTAGTTCCAGTGTCCCCAGGGCGATAACATTCAGGGAAAGTTGTCCACGCAAAGCAAAATGAACCCGATGGTTGGGACGCTGACAAATATCCAACCAGTTGAAAAGGTTACGGGTGGATCTGAACTACGGAATCACCAGCAATGAAACAGTGCTCGAGATAGCTCAGTGGTTAGGGCGCGAACTTACTGACCGTGGTTCGAACCCAACCCCGGCATCTCAAATGCTCCTGTCTAGGTTTGGGCGAACAGACACTATCTCATCCCTCGTGCTTACTAGGGCGCGACTTACTGACCGTGGTTCGAACCCAACCCCGGCATCTCAAATGCTCCTGTCTAGGTTTGGGCGAACAGACACTATCTCATCCCTCGTGCTTACCTCGGGTTGTACGGCCACTAGACACCAGGAACGATCGTATTGATTGTAGTAATGGAACCGGGAAATAGATAACCAGCTCCGTTCGATGGAGACAACATTCCCACTCAGTTTTTCAACCACGAGTTGTGATGAAAAACGGGCAAACAATAAACTAGAGGTCAAGCGCGGGCGAGTGGATACAACAGCGCCGTTATCTCTCTGATGGAGTGGGTTACTGGTACCCCAACCGCGCAGTTGGCATGAACCAACATGACTATCACCCGCTGGCAAGCTTTTGGTGCCTCGCTCCCGGACCACGGATCTGCATCTCGCTTCGGTCGGAGCAGGATTCATGACGAGGCAATCGATCAACGGGATTGAGAACATGCGCGAGACAACCTAGCTGGTTCAGTCAACTGAATGAATATTCAAGGTGTTGCCGGAATAAATTTTCTCCCAATTAAGCACTGTAAGCACGCGCAATGCATCAATGGCACTGACGACGAAGATCAAGGAGTAGACTTTTATCTTCAATACACACTAGCCGAGTGTTACAGCCATAATATACTTCTGCAGCTTTCCAGACTCTGTCCCATATCGACAAACTAATGTCTGGGCTGAAGGAAAGCAGAGCGGGCTTTGGCGATACCACGATCAAAGAGGTATAACTATCTAGACAGGGAATTTATCAACCACTTCTAGCCCTTAAGACACCATGCTGTTGTACGCATTCATTCTCGAAAGGCGTGGCAGCAAGAGTCTGTAGGTCATTTAGCGCGTAGCCAGGGCCTCACCTGAAAGAAACTCAATGTCAAGGAACTCCACACCAACTCAGCCGAATGGTGCTTTGAGATACAGGAAGACGGTAATTTTAGGAGTGCTTTGAGTTGTCAGACAGTGTCAATTCACTCATTACAATTTATCAGCTATAGACAGTGTACCACAGGCACATTGGTTCCAGCTGCTGCAGTTTCGATCACCGGAGAGTGTGCATGAGCACTACTGACTGCGCGATCGGGCATTCCTGTCATTGGTGAGTTGAAATCTCGGGTTCCCATCCGAGGGAAGGCGCAGTTGTCGACCCGACTACTTTTACTTTTTAGTGTTTTTATACTTCGTTGTCAGGCCATACACTGTCCACTCCTCGATCGCTTCCACTCCGTACACAACTGGGTGACAAGAGCTCTGCGAGGTAGACGGTCTTCTGGCATCCGGAGTACAAGTCCTAACCAGAGTAACCTATGAAGCCTGAGTAATCCATCTATTGTGGGGGAAATTCCTTCTTCCTAGGACCATCCATCGAACCTCAGCATCACTCATCTGATGTTCCCACTACACCCAACCAATTCTTCAGAGAAACCGATGATCAAACACTGACATCTTTCGCATGTCCTCTGCGCATATAGGCCACGTCTGTGAACCATGGAGCAGTGTGGATCTGACTGCCGCAATGTAAACTATGACCTTGACGGACAAAATGATGTCACATCAGAGCCATAGGTGTCCGAGGTTAGAAGCTGTCCTGGCCTTCCCGATTCCAGAAGTAATCTCATCTCCAGCCAGTCCACCGGAACTTAAACAAACGAATCAATCAATAAATAATTATAGATAAATTTATCTACCATGTCCACAGAGTCAAAAGCAGCTTTCAGGTCAACACAAATGACCAACTTGGGACGTTCGAAGGTATGGCACTACTCAAGAAATTGTCCCAAGGTAAAGATGTCGATGCGCCCTCGACCAGGGGGAAACCCAGCTTGATTCTCATGAATCTGTCTCTCCCAATAATCGGTCAATCTGCGCAAAATAATACCATGGAGCACCTTAGATGCGACAGATACCAGGCTGATGCAACGGAGGTTTTCGCATAACCTTGTGCCTTTTTTGTGAGGACACTGTCAATGCATCTGGGAGAGCTTGACAGAACTCCGTCCGGTGTGTGGTCAGTGTTTGGGTGAACTTTATAGAAGGGTCAAGAACAGAGCACAAACGAACCAAAGTTTCGAGCATTATCGGTCACATCAAATGAAATCATACACATGCGGCAGTTCTTGAACTAGTCGACCACGGGTAATGAGCAAAGTATACGTTACCCAAGCCACACTGATACAACAGTCCCAAAATAGTAGTTCAATAAAGACACACCTGAAGTTCTTCTGCAACAGCAGACGGAGGAGTTGTGTCAACTTCTTGTTCTTGTTCTGCAGCCACTGCAGATGAAATTACCTCGTTTACAAGTGATTCAGCTGTCTCCGTAACATGCGCTTCCGGGATGGAAGGGGTTTCTGTGGTCTCATCGGCTTTCGGACTGTCGCCCTGTTCACCAGCGATGGGGTGTTCCAGCTCCGCCGACTCCGGTTTAGTGGTGCTGCTTTTCTTTGAAAGTCGTCTTTTGATCCAACCCAGAGGATCCTTGGATTTTCTTTTTTCCGTTTCGTGAGTCTCCGCACCCTCATGACCAGCGTGCACGGTTCCGTTTGGTCCTGGAACCTCATCGACAGTTTGAATAACTTCTGTTCGAGCTTCCCCGACGGGTTTCTCTGGTTGCTAAAAGGTGAATAACGAGTTAGTCGATGGCGAATACAAAGACTACTCAAGGGCATTCATAGAATCTCTGAAAAACGGCGATAATGAGGTACAACTTGGGACGAAGATGAGTAAATGACACCCATGAGTGGAGCAGCAAACGCTTCAAACCAGATCGAACACGGCAGAAAAAGCTTAAAAAGTTATTGAAAAGAACTTTGGTTTCCAGGGTGATGTAAAATATTTTTGGCCAGTACTCGCAACTTTTACCACCTGCCTTTCTTAACGTGGAGATTCCACAATCAAGTCTAGTGGCTTCTCAAGAACAAATGCCTTTTGCCGGAGGCAAAGGCATCATCAAAAATATCTTGCGGAAATTCGGAGTTGCATAGTTTGCAGCTGACTAGTGCCTGATCCTCCGACTACACATATTCCCAATATTTGACATTAATGTGTCAACATTTCTTCCCCCAAATCGTAAAGCGTTGACAGGTTGTTGAAGTCTCCGTGTCGTTCATCACTCCTTGGTTGGTTCCCAGCCAACTCCGTAGTCTCTCACAGACCGTAGGGACCGTGTTCTCTTTCGATGCAGCCCACACCTGACTATTGACCCGTCACTCTGTGCCCGAATGCGCTAGGGAACGGTAGAAGGTTATTTAGGATTACTCATCCCTCCTCCCGTTAATTGGACGTTTGTGTTCCCGTACTTCCATTCGTTTAAGCATTGATTGAACTCTAATGTATTGACCTCAGGAGAGAGCCAAACGCGTGCCGGTTCACCGCTTTGATGAAATCTCGCGGGGTTATGAGCACTCATCAAACGACGTCAGACTGAAAGGTTGTGCAGAAAGATGACTTCAAATCGCACGTCTTTGGTGCTGCAGCCCTAAAGTATGTTTCCTAAAAGCACGGTCCAACGGTATTAGCGAGAAGGGCTTTGTGTTCATTTTGGTTAGATGTCCTTGAAAATCAAGTACCACCAAGACAACGTAACAGGACGCGAATTATTGCACATATCGAGCACTAAACAGCCACCGTTCAAATGGCTATTCATGAAGATGATGTCGTAACTGGCTTACATCTCAACTATTGCTGTTGTATAGGTTTCCCTACCCTACTGTCATCGTTAACAGCCTTGGTGACAGGTCCTGTACACGCCTTAGCGATTTCAGTTGGCACAGTTTCGTTGACCAATGACGTGGAGAGTGGAAGCGCGGAGAGCTACGCATTTGTGATAACTAAAGGTAGGAACACATTCTGCCGTAATCCACCAACGTTGTAGATCTTCAATTCAACGTAGGGGATATGTAAATGGTCTTTTTGCCTCAACCCACAGAAAAATACGGAAAACCGTTTCGTTTAAAACTGATTTATTGATAGTATTATGGACTCGGATCTGGGAATTCTGGTGCCACCAAGTATGAATGGGAAAGCAGAGAGTAGTGAACTGACTGGGCATAATTGGTTGATTAATGTTCATACAGTATTGTAAAGCGCACGGACGGAAATCACGCTACATAGGTTGCACGGCTGGTTGAGAACTCAGGTGTGTCAACAACTAGCGCAGTCGTACGTGCTCAACAACGATACCACAGTATGCCAAATACTACGCGGGCTACACTTAAACGCACTTGACCATAAGTGTACCATCGAACCAACGAGGTGACGACAGAGACTAAATCTGGTTCATCTCCTTCACCGCTCAGAGAGCACGTTACGACGACCCGGACTGTGCTTAGTGCACGGATTCAATGACAAAATCAACAAATCGGAGATCAATTTCATACGTGTCATTGGATGTGAATTGAGGAGTGTGATAATAATGTTCAGGTAAGGGCTCAAGGATGGACGAATCGAAAGGGAAGTTCGCCTACCTCATCATCTATGGCAGGAACGTTGCTCATTACACTGGCATCCCCGTTGACCAGCTGATGTGAACCAAATACGGGAGGAAGACGATGACGGTTGGGTGTGGGGGAACACGATATGGTGCGTGAATCATGGGGCGATGGGGGTAGGATGGGGAGACAACACCAGTGATCAGTGCACAAGAATAAGACCACGACAGAGAGTGTTATACGGCATGCACATATACTAAATATGAGTGCAGTGAAGACTACAGTACGGTGAAGTACGCTAAATATGACAAAAGCAGTAACAGGATGATTTGACCAACCTGGGACGCAGTTTCCGGGGTTTCCACAGTTTTGTGAGGCGCTGCATCGTTCTGGAATAAAACCGATTGGGAACTTTCAAAAGTACATTAAACGTATGTATTAAAGGAAATGTATTAAAGGAAATGTATTAAAGGAAATGTATTAAAGGAAATGTATTAAAGGAAATGTATTAAAGGAAATGTATTAAAGGAAATGTATTAAAGGAAATGTATTAAAGGAAATGTATTAAAGGAAATGTATTAAAGGAAATGTATTAAAGGAAATGTATTAAAGGAAATGTATTAAAGGAAATGTATTAAAGGAAATGTATTAAAGGAAATGTATTAAAGGAAATGTATTAAAGGAAATGTATTAAAGGAAATGTATTAAAGGAAATGTATTAAAGGAAATGTATTAAAGGAAATGTATTAAAGGAAATGTATTAAAGGAAATGTATTAAAGGAAATGTATTAAAGGAAATGTATTAAAGGAAATGTATTAAAGGAAATCCAAAGTGATTCGTGCGACAGTTGCGTATCGGTGCTGGTCTTGACAATGACGGGGCTTCAAAGTCAGGAAATGATCACAAAAATAATTGGAATAATTTACTGCGCAGAGACGGCTGTTCAACCACAACTCACACATACTTTTCTGATGTTTAAAGTCGATTAAATTAGGAATGCGCATGCAAAAAGGGTGAGTGGTCACATCAAGTACGAAACAGTCCCGAAAAAGGAAGCTCACATATTTGGAAACGATTAGAATGATTCTATATTAATTAGTATGACGCGAGCTTACTGACCCGAAGGTTCGTGGTTCGAACCAAACCCCTGCATTTCGACTGCTCCTGTCTATACTTGGGCAACGTGGCAGTATCCCAGCCCTCATGCTCCCTTCAGATGGCGTGGTAGCCAGGCCTCGAAAGGATGTTACAGTTGAGCGATTATTATCTATTGTTAATATAGGCGATTCCAACGGCCGACAAGAGAGATGCTGTGACTAGAGCGTTACCAAACCACACTGCAAGCTACTTAGCCCCAAATCAGCTGTGCTCAAAATACTGTCACAGGATTGTCCAGTTGACAATGCCTTGAACTCAGGTCCAATAAGCATCTGTTGATTTCCGACAGGGCGGAAGCTCAATCTATCACCGATATCTCGTGATAGCGCTCTCGATCTGATGAGCGTGGGACAAACACGCGTGCACACGAACACAAACGTAGAGGGCATTGTGTGGAAGACAGACCCATGATATTCGTCTGTTCACTTCAGTGTTGTGGGTTGGCTAAATATCAAGGGAAGACTGATTTTGCTCAAGACCTTGAGCATGAAAAGATCGACTGACGAGCTTTCTTGTGGAAGTGAGTGCTAACTCGAGATCTGAGAAAGGCTTGAGCGAATAGGGGATAGGCGAATAGGTTGGGGAAATGGTCAGCTAATTTAAACAGAATAACAATTCAAAACAGGCACGTTGCGAAGTGGAAGCGACTGAGGCGATTCCCCAGTCAAAACGATAAACCGAACGTTGCGTCCTGGCGATCGCGGAGTAAACATGATTTTCAGGATTTGAGCTTAAATCAGTGATTGTCACTCAGTTTCAGAAAGCATTCAAATACTCGAGATGCGCAGATTTAGGCAATCATAAGAGCCTAGAGCGGGCGAGCCCTAAGACCACGGTTGTGACTTCTGCGCAGACACCAAAACAGAGGAACGGCTAACTGGCATGTGTACAGCATCCAACCTCGGATTGTCACGAAAAGCGAAAAACCTTCACCACATACCCAATTTATCCGACTTTGTTTGTACTAAATTCCGGGTAGATAGTCCCACCTAGTTGATGCTTCTACCTCTAAAGTATCGCGGCAGTTGTATTAGCTCTGACGGTAGACGAAATCAACGAACAGATTCCAACGGGCAGAATTGTGTTTGCAATATGCGCCCTTGTGGCGTCAAAGAGGCGAATCCCTAGACCTCAAAGGATGTACATATCACACCGTATTTTTTGTAGGCTGCGAAACTTGCCCGCTTTGGCCGGAGCATCTGAGAAGTCCTCAGGTATTTCGCCACCGATGTCTCAGAACTAAACTGAAATCGGCTGGAACCAGCGGGATCGCAATGAGATGGTGGAGCTGACAGTTCTTCACGCACACAGGATTCCAGGCTAGATTGGCTGAACCATGAGCTACGTATACCGAACTCGAGAAGAGTTTTCTGTGCCTAATTCGGCGAGGTGGACAGATTAAGACTGGGCAGAAGGGAATAAAGGATGTTACGAAAAGTCTGGACGCTTTGATGCTCCCGCGCGATCCTCTCTGCGCTTGGGTGGACGCATTGAACACGGTGGTGAGGTGTCCTAGGTCCCCATCCTTTCCCCATTTTTATTGAAATAAGTTGGCATTGTTGTACGGCAGTGAAACACAAGTGTTTGCTATGGATGATGAGGATACTGGACAGCAGCACTGCTGTGAATAAAGTAAAACACAAGATCCTCCTATGTGACGAACCGTAGAAGGGAACCCGCATAAGAGTTACGCAACTCGTCCGGTTCTAACCTTCCTGCGGGTGAACAGTCTCCATGAGAATACTCAAGCAAAAACCAACTGATGTGCAGAGGGTGTATTACTTTAACCAGCAAAACTACTCAAGCATGGACATTCGAGTAGACCATAGAAACCCCAGCATTTGATTAACCGAGCAGATGTGACAGCGAATTCAAAGCCTACAGCGAAAATGGTGAAAAAGGCTATTGTTTTGCAGTGTCACACCGATCCACTTCTGATCTGGTGTGAACTGTCGATAAAATATCATCTGTACGATTCATGGAACCATAACTTCATCAGGGTGCCAGTATCGTGTGAACTGCAGTTTCAAACTCGTTACGAGCTGGTTAACCGTGTTTACCCACATAAGCTGCAGCAGCCGTAGGACGAATAACGAGGATAAATCGGCGGATAAAAAGGGCTAATCTTGTTAGTGCGATTTGCACGGCGAGACAACAGATGAGAGGCATTGTTGTTTGTTCGTAGTTTGTTTATATGAAGCTACCAGCTTAGCTTAAAGGTGATGGTCACGAGTGTGGAAAAAAACATGACAAGAAAGACAGACGAGATCGTTTGGCCATAAGTATGACGTCAGTGGGAATAAATACAATGCAATGCGTTCTCAAACCATCAGTGGGATCTAAGTCGGTGTGAAACGATCGGAGCAAAAGCGCCTGCTCTGATTGCTTCTTCCAACCCCAGTATCCTTCACTTTTAGGGGATTCGACAGCCGGCTATGTATGACTGGACTTAATTTTTATTTCTCTCCAGGGCGAGATAGCTCGGGGGTTAGCGCGCGAATTTACTGATCGGAAGGTTCGACCTCTGCCTCTCGAATTCCCCTGTTTAGATTTGAGCAACCTGGTTGTACCCCAGCTATCGTGCTTTCTTCTGGTGGCATGGCAGTTAGGCACCGAAAGGGTGCTACAGCTGGACGATAAGCGCCTTTCTGTATACGAGAGAACCAACCAGTAATGATCGATAAGCAACGTCCGATTAATAGGCGTATGGGGGTGACACAGATGCCGACAACGAAAATTTCGAGTTTTGAAATGAAACCTTGTACCAGGCGGAATTCCACACAAATAAAAAATTCACAAGTTACCACACGATTATGTGATGAACGTTCAAATTCAAATTTCGGTTGGGTCAATAATCTAACGGGTATGAGCTTTCCTACATGATGGCTTCGATAAACCTGAATTCGTTGACACCACAGAAAACTGGAAAAGCTTCATTTACAGACTCCTGTCTCACTTGCTCGGTCAGTTTATTGGCTTCAAACCATGTACAAGGGGGTGCGTCTGTTCCAGCTGCTACAGTTTCGATTAGCAGAGTATGGGGGAGCGGAGGAGATACACGCAAGCTTTGGGTGCGATGGCATGTTCGGTTAGTTTGTACTGTAGCATCTTTTCTCATGAACGGATAACACACGCTGTCATCAAGCAGGCAAAGGCGGTAGTGAGTCCGCTCGCAACACAAGAGGCAGGGGTCATAGTACAATACGATGAACACTTGTCGAATGTTTTCGTCACGTCTTAGTGAACTGTCACTCAAAATTTTGAAATATAGCTGCGAAAATGTTTTGTCAAGAAATTCAATGCCCGTAAGAAGGAATCGTAGGATACCGTCACACAACACACAATTAAGAAGATGCTAAGTGGCGTCCAATAGCTTCGAATGAGGCAAAATAGTCCAAAATAGCCTCTTATCGTGAATCTTGTGACCTATTGTCATAGAGCTTCATGTAACACATCCGAGGCTGCACATCTGTCGCAATCGTAATCTTACGGTCATTAGGCTAGGTGGTTTAAGAGTTGTGTTTCAGATCAACGCAGTTTTCTGCCGCGGACAAAACTGAGTGATACGGTCGTACGTCGGGCCCTACTCATGCATTAGCTGACCATAACATCCATCTGCTTGCTACATTCAGCTATCTGTCTGTGCAACATTTTTTCAAAGGCACGAAATCTGGGAAGGAGCTGAATGACGTAAACAGCCTGCTGTTGAGAAAGTAAGGGGATAATTTTGGCGATTAACGTTTTTATGGAGTAAGCCTGACGGGGTCTAATTACAAAAGCTCTCCATCTAAGAACCGACTTCAAAGTCTCAAGTTTCACAGTTCCCATAACTTGAAGTGACTTTGCGGGCGAAAAATACATTCAGTTCTGCCTTCTATTCCGATGAGTTGAGTGTATCGCGTGAACAGGAAAACACTGATATGTGCGCCTGCGATAACAAAAAGCCGTTTGTCAGTAGGAAAACATTAACGCAACCAGATGGTTTGATCAGTGTGCGAAGCACAGTTCATACTTCTTCTGGCAGCAGGGAACAGGGTCCTCTTCATTTGCACTTTCGGCCTACTTTTGCCATCCGGACATTATAAACTAAATTCAAACTTGTAGAAACTGGTTGACATTGACATTAAATGTACAGCTCACAGACAACATGATGATGCTGCCCTGGTGCAATCCACCAGGGTAAAGCCGGTCGTGGGCTACTGCCGGGTTTCCAGCAACCCTAAGAGTAGT